TGACAGTCGTATCAACAAAAACACGCGACATGCTGAATAAACTCAATATTTCACAAGTGGTATTAGGTTTAATGAAAAACACTTCAAGGATCCAAATGTTTCAATTTGTGGTGTGTGTTTAATCACCATCTCTACTTGGGATTTCTGCAATGTATACCAAAACCACACCTACAGCTGATCTGACCTCTTTCAGGATGGGTCAGAGAGAGGCCTTAGAAACAGCTGAGTCAAAACGAATATGGTGTCAAATATTATGGCCTCCCCTCCGACGAAGGTTTAGTGGGGTTCTTCTCATGCGGTAGCCAGTACCTCCCCTGCATCTTCACATGGCTCAGACCTGTGAGCTTCTCTACTGACATCGGGGGTGCAGCCGGGCCTATACCAGCCCCAGCCAGCCAGCCAGCCTCTCTGCTAACCCACCACCTCTAGTATTACCTCCAGTCCTCCAAGCCTACTTACAACCCACACCCCCAGGTTCTACCATTACCCCAGTCGCACCCAGGCCACAAACCCTACTCCCAGCCTCACCCACAAACCCTACTCCCAGCCTCACCCACAAACCCTACTCCCAGCCTCACCCACAACCCTACTCCCAGCCTCACCCACAACCCTACTCCCAGCCTCACCCACAACCCTACTCTCAGCCTCACCCACAACCCTACTCCCAGCCTCACCCACAACCCTACTCCCAGCCTCACCCACAACCCTACTCTCAGCCTCACCCACAACCCTACTCTCAGCTTCACCCACAACCCTAACTCTCAGCCTCACCACAAACCCTACTCCCAAGCCTCACCCACAACCCTACTCTCAGCTTTCACCCACAACCCTACTCCCAGCCTCACCCACAACCCTACTCTCAGCCTCACCCACAACCCTACTCCCAGCCTCACCCACAAACCCTACTCCCAGCCTCACCCACAACCCTACTCCCAGCCTCACCCACAACCCTACTCCCAGCCTCACCCACAACCCTACTCCCAGCCTCACCCACAACCCTACTCCCAGCCTCACCCACAAACCCTACTCCCAGCCTCACCCACAATCCTACTCCCAGCCTCACCCACAACCCTACTCCCAGCCCCACCCACAACCCTACTCCCAGCCTCACCCACAACCCTACTCCCAGCCTCACCCACAACACCCTACTCTGCCTCACCCACAACCCTACTCCCAGCCTCACCCACAGCCCTACTCTCAGCCTCAACCCACACCCTACTCCCAGCCTCACCCACAAACCCTACTCCCAGCCTCACCCACAACCCTACTCCCAGCCTCACCCACAACCCTACTCCCAGCCTCACCCACAAACCCTACTCCCAGCCTCACCCACAACCCTACTCTCAGCCTCACCCACAACCCTACTCCCAGCCTCACCCACAACCCTACTCCCAGCCTCACCCACAACCCTACTCCCAGCCTCACCAACCAACACACACCATACCCACAAACCCTACTCCAGCCTCACCCACAACCCTACTCCCAGCCTCACCCACAACCCTACTCCCAGCCTCACCCACAACCCTATTCCTAGCCTCACCCACCGATCACAACCCATCTCCCTCCTCACCCCACATTACCACCCTCCTCCCACCACCTCTCCTGTTTCCCTCCCCCGACCTCGCCCAGACAGTCTTGTTAGACTCAAAAGCCAGTGTGAAAATAATAAACACGTCGTCTTTAGGCTGATTCTAATGGATGTCAATCATTGGTTTGCTGCTCAGTGTGGTTGATGTTGATTTATTACGTAAACTCTCAATGAAAATGAATCCCCTTATCCTTCCCTACTGCTGTCTTTCTGAGGGTGCGGACCTGGGTTCAAATACTATTTGAAACCATTTCAAATACTGTACATGTTATTGATTGTGATTGATTTTGCTTGGTGCAATAAAACCATGAGCATAGACCCGGTCCATCTGGAACTCTAGGCAGCTGGTAAAGCAAGCGCTTAAAGTACTTGAAATATTTCAAAAACGATTTGAACCCTGGTCTGCTGAGAAGTTCTCTGCTAAGAGAGTTTATAGGATCTGGTTCAGAAAGATAGAAAAAGACACATTGCCGAACAGCTAGAGTTTTCTCTGGTGAGCTTGTCTATCTCTTTAGTGAGTCATTATGTCTACTCTGTAAATAGCAGTGTTTGTTATGTATCTCAGAGCTGTTAGCCAGGTTAATGGAGACCTTATGGTTCCAGACAGAAAACTGGAAACACATTTTCTATTGTTGTTTGTCGCATTACTGTCAAAATATATTAACTTATTGGGGTATCAAATCACTAAGTCATGAAATAATTGTTTTCATACACAAATTGAAAAGAGGACTGCTTGTACATGTGTTATATATAGTTTATGAATGTGTCATGAAGTCATTATAATGTTAATCTCTCTCTCCTCTCTCTCCTCTTCTTCTCTCTTCGATCTATCTATTCATCTCTCTCTCTCTCTCTCTCTCTCTCTCTCTCTCTCTCTCTCTCTCTCTCTCTCTCTCTACCGCACCTGCTGTATTGACCGCTGAATGCTTCAGTTATGAAAAGCCAACTGACATTTACTCCTGAGGTGCTGACCTGTTGTACCCTCTATAACCACTGGGATTATTATTTGACCCTGCTGGTCATCTATGAACGTTTGAACATCTTGAAGAGCGATCTGGCCTTAATAATGGCCATGCACTCACAATCTCCACCCGGCACAGCCAGAAGAGGACTGGTCACCCCTCAGAGCCTGGTTCCTCTCTAGGTTTTTTCATAGGTTCCTGCCTTTCTAGGGAGTTTTTCCTAGCCACCGTGCTTCTACATCTGCATTGCTTGCTCTTTGGTTTCTTAGGCTGGTTTTCTTTATAAGCACATCTACTGATGTAAAAAGGGCTTTATATATAGATAGATAGATAGATAGATAGATAGATAGATAGATAGATAGATAGATAGATAGATAGATAGATAGATAGATAGATAGATAGTTTTAGCTCCAAAATACAGTTTCCCAGACCCAAGTTAAGCCTGGTCCCAGATCTGTTTTTGTCCATGAGACAATAACCATACCAGGGCAAGACAGCACAAACACATCTGGGACCAGGCTAGGTTAAGCCTATATATTATTGAACAAAAAAAAAGCACTGTGAGTGGAGATTCTATGTTACACATGTTTTTCAGTCCAGGAACAGGGTAGGTAGGCTTCATCTCTGTATGTCCAAACAAGCCTATACCGTAGCACGGCATTCAGCTCAGCCACAAGCTGGTAGAGGATGCCATCTAATGGAGGCTGATGGAACACTTCCGTCTAGTCCATTTTCACCATTCACTCACCAACTTGCAGTGTTGTTCAGGGGACATTTACGTCATTTAGCAGATGTTCACATCCAGAGCGACTTACAGTAGTGAGTGCATACATCGAATCGAACCCACAACCCTGGCATTGCAAGCAACCACGCTCTACCACATGAGCCACACGGGACCCCAATGACCATAGGTTTATTTGTTGACGTAATGCCTTTGTACTTGTTATGAATGTGTCATGAATGTGTTATGTATGGGTTATGAATGAGTGATAAAGTGCTTATAGTACCCTTCAAATAGAGGGGGACCATATCCTCTCTCCTGATCTGGGAGGTACCATTATGGTAAACGACTACAAACTCTGTTTGACACGTTGTGAAACTACACACAACAAGGAAGAGAGAGTCGAGTGGTTGGCTTAACTGACACTGACAGGAAATCCAAAACTCCAGTTCTGCTATTTAGTACAGCTCCACCAATTACGTGACAGCAGGCAGGGTGACAGGGTGTGTCTGGGGTGCTGGGTGGTGTCACAGACTGTTTCCTGATCTGAAGGAGAGGAGACAGACCAGGAGGTCTAAACAGTAGGGGGGAGAGGAGAGGAGCATCATGTCCATGGCCATGGCTTACCAACAGAAGCTAGCTGAGAAGCTCACCATCCTCAACGACAGAGGGAGAGGGGTGCTGCTACGTATGAACTACATCAAGAAGGTGAGCGAGACGAGTCGGTCCGTTGAGGAGAACGGCGACGCTTGACAAATAAGAAAAAAAGAAAAAAAATGGAACTTGAAGGAAAAAGTCGCAGGTTTCTTCTCCCTGATACGTTCAAAGCTTTTTTGCCCCGTTTATAGTGGAGAACGGTGTGGATGGAAACACTGGGATGGGAAATGATCAATGATTAACATTTTTGAATTTAAAGATCTCTCAATATAGTTAGCTTGGTGGCTGCTGCTGTAAGAATATATATTTTCTGAGTGTCAGCTTGCCCTGAAGAGGAAGTTCACACAGGAAACCAGACTGATCTGCATTCAGTCAGACTTGTGCTGCTGCACACTCAGAAAGCCTCACCACAGATCTGCTATCTACCGTGTCAAAATATTGGTCTCACTTTCAACGAAATACAGCCTAACTTTTCAGGCTCCATAAATACTTTATTAGTAGGTCTATCATACATGTCAGGAGCCAAATAACCAAATTAGATAATACTAAATTAATTTGTTCATTTCCTGAATTGAGTGAATCAAAATGTCATTGACCCCAACCCCAACCCGGGTTCTTTTGCAGACATGCTCGGATCCCAAGCTTCGGCCACAATACCTGACGGACAAGACCATGGAAGCGTCTGTCAAATACATCAACAAGAAGTTCCCCAACATAGACTTCAGGGGAAACAGTGTAAGTAGCTACTCTCAATCCACCCCTTAATCTTAGAAAATAAAAACGTGTAATGATAATCTGTAAAAGGTGTAGTGATAATCAGTCAAACGTTTAGTGATAATCAGTCAAATGTATCTAATGTGATGTGATGTCTTTAATGAAAGCAGCAGCATCTGACAGGCATCCAGAGACAGAAGACTGAGGTGATGACCACTATGTCTAGTTACTATGACTCATTCATAGACGTCATGGAGTTCAGGGTGAGTCTGTCTATACCACTGTTTCCCAAACTCTCCTCCAGGACCCCCCCTCAGCCAGGTCCACTTATTTTTATGTATTGCTGCTAATCAACTAATCTAATCTAATCTAATCTAATCTAATTTTATTTGCCACATGTGCCGAATACAACAGGTGTAGACATTACAGTGAAATGCTTACTTACAGGCCCTTAACCAACAGTGCAGTTTAAGAAAAAAATAAAAAATAGCAAAAAGTTAAAGAGCAGCAGTAAAATGAAATAACATTAGGGAGGTTATATACAGGGGGTACCGTTACAGAGTCAATGTGCGGGGGCACCGGTTAGTCGAGGTAATTGAGGTAATATGTACATGTGGGTAGAGTTAAAGTGACTATGCATAAATAATAAACAGAGTAGCAGCAGCATAAAAGAGGGGGATTGAGTGGGTTGGGGGGGCAATGCAAATAGTCTGGGTAGCCATGATTAGCTGTTCAGGAGTCTTATGGCTTGGGGGTAGAAGCCTTTTGGACCTAGACTTGGCGCTCCGGTACCACTTGCCGTGCGGTAGCAGAGAGAACAGTCCATGATTAGGGTGGCTGGAGTCTTTGATAATTTTTAGAACCTTCCTCTGACACCGCCTGGTATAGAGGTCCTGGATGGCAGGAAGCTTGGCCCCAGTGACGTACTGGGCCGTACGCACTACCCTCTGTAGCGCCTTGCGGTCGGAGGCAAAGCAGTTGCCATACCAGGCGGTGATGCAACCAGTCAGGATAATCTTGATGGTGTAGCTTTTTGAGGATCTGAGGACCCATGCCAAATCTTTTCAGTCTCATTTTTACATTTACATTTGAGTCATTTAGCAGAAGCTCTTATCCAGAGCGACTTACAGTTAGTGAGTGCATACATTTTCATACAGGCCCCCCCGTGGGAATCAAACTCACAACCCTGGCGTTGCAAGCTCCATGCTCTACCAACTGAGCTACACGGGGCCCTGAGGGGGAAGAGGCTTTGTTGTGCCCTCTTCACGACCATGACAGTTTGTTGTTGATGTGGACGTCATCAAGTCCTTCATTAGTTGAATCAGGTGTTCTAATTGTGGAATACATGGAATGTGTGGAACTGGCTAGGGATACACAAAGAAAAGTTTGGGAAGTACTGTTCCATACAGGTATTACCGCATTGGTATTCAAAAGCACAAAACGACAATTATCCAAACAGAATTAACATATAAAGTGACTTTTTGCTCCCGCGACTGAAATAATATACATTTCAAGGGGAGTCAAATTCGAGTTCTGTTATTGTACAGATGAAAGTGTGTGCTGTGCCTCGGGGGGCGTATTCATTATGTGTGATGAAGGTCACAGTAGCAGACTGTAGGTGGGTCATGCAATAATAAAGAGATTATTATGATGATAATACAATCAAATAATACACATCAATCTATCACCCAATTTCAGAATAGAAAATGGAAAACATATTATGAAAAACAAAATAATACACGCAAATGTTTTGCTCAATTTCTTTGGATAGGCTGTGGCATTTCTAAAAAGGACTGTATTATTCATAATGATCCCACGAGGATAGCTGTGAGTTGCAGGTGTTTAATCCTTCTTGACGTCTGTACTGTTACAGAGCAACATGAACGCATCAACCCACTGCATTATTTGACGTCTGTACTGTTACAGAGCAACATGAACGCATCAACCCACTGCATTATTTGACGTCTGTACTGTTACAGAGCAACATGAACGCATCAACCCACTGCATTATTTGACGTCTGTACTGTTACAGAGCAACATGAACGCATCAACCCACTGCATTATTTTTTACATCTTATCTGGCTGTGCCGAGTCTGTGTTCTGACCACAGATTAACTATTTTTTCAGGATCATGTTTATGAACTGCTGAATACAATTGACGCCTGCCAGTGTTTCTTCAATATTGTGAGTACAACATCCCACAATAGTGGATAGGATAGGGGATCTACTTTGCCCCCTTAGGGCCACCGTAGGTATCACAACACACAGTTAATTTATAAGTTATCATGTTAACCTGCTTTTTTAACCGGCATCATCCATTCATTCATTTATTCATTCATCAGGCGGTGAACTTTGACTTCACCAAGAACTACCTGGAGCTGATCATCACCTATACGTCTGTAATCTTCATGCTTTCACGCATCGAGGACAAGAAGGTCCTGGTGGCCATGTACAACTGTGCTCACGAGATGTCCAACGGTAGCAGGTGGGACCCAGTTACGTCTATCATCTATTCAAATACAGTCGATTCAGGAAGTGATTCGGAATTCAATTTGAAATGGAAACAATCCTCATTGAAAAATGAATGAGCTCATATTCAATACATCTTTCGTTGACATTTCTGAACAGACAATGAATGGATTTCTTTTCATATGCAAATACATAACCAGATCAAATACTCACACTGCAAGGTCATTTTCACTATTAATTCCATTTTTGACAGAAATAATCTGAGATAGGCTTTTCCCACTCATTCAATGGAAGATGGCGTTTAAATGTTAGTTCATGACAGAAAACCTGATGTTTTCATCATTCAGTAAAGGATGGTATTAGCTGCATGTGAGAGTGTGATTTGAAGGAGTCAGGCGCAGGAGGGTAAATCACAGAATACAGAGTTTATTCCGTAGTACACAGTTACGCTGGATAGCGTCAACAGCACAGGGCGTAATACAGGTGCACTGGAACACAATACAGGCACACGGGGAGAAATAACCCCGGGCAATACAAAGTACGGGTGGCTCAACCGAGCTACACTCATCTTCACATAAAACAATCACCCACAAGGACAAGGGGGCCAGAGGGAACACTTATACACGGACTAATGAGGGGATAAGAACCAGGTGTGTGTAATTGACAAGACAAGACAAATGGAATGATGAGATATGGAGCGGCAGTGGTTAGTAAGCCGGTGACGATGAACGCCGAAACCTGCCCGAGCAAGGAGGAGGGGCAGCCTCGGCGGAAGTCGTGACATTGCAGTACAGCTAGGCAACACCCAGTCACAACTACTTAAATCCTCTTAGCTATTAATATAGCCAAGCGTCTCAAAGATGATTACCCATAATTGTCCCTAACTAATAGCTGTTTAATTGGCAATAACAACACATCCTTCCCTTCATGTCCAACATTTCCCAGAGTGCATAACAGTACAATTACATTTTCAGTCCATTTCACACCATATTTATTTACGTAGCCAAAATGGCAGGAGGACGTTTATCTTGATCAAAGACGCTAAGGAGGAGGAAATACTGTACAGACGGGGAAACAAAGAAATGTAATGTCGCAGTCATCTTCCACCAGTCACTTCATAATAATCCTCAGTGGTTGGAGACGGAGAGCCACTGGAGTTTAGAAGGAGAGGTGTACTTTAACACTATAGCAGAGGGCCTCTCATACAGCTCCTATTCAAAAACAGGGAACATTTATGACACTTGAAAGGATGGTGAATCTGATTTCCTTTTGTGTGGCTGAGAAAGAAGATAGTCAGTCATGGAGTGGCACCACATGATAAAGAGGATAGTCAGTTATGGAGTGGCACCACATGAGAAAGAAGATAGTCAGTTATGGAGTGGCACCACATGAGAAAGAAGATAGTCAGTTATGGAGTGGCACCACATGAGAAAGAAGATACTCAGTTATGGAGTGGCACCACATGAGAAAGAAGATACTCAGTTATGGAGTGGCACCACATGAGAAAGAGGATAGTCAGTTATGGAGTGGCACCACATGAGAAAGAAGATAGTCAGTTATGGAGTGGCACCACATGAGAAAGAAGATAGTCAGTTATGGAGTGGCACCACATGAGAAAGAAGATAGTCAGTTATGGAGTGGCACCACATTTTATTGCTGTTGGTAAGAGTTAGTACTGTACATGGCAGTGTATGTGTATACATTAATCATGTATGATTAATTGATTGTTTGATTGATTGATTGTTTGATTGATCCTCCAGTGACCCTGCGTATCCCCGTCTGTCTCAGATGTTTATGGAGTATGAACAGCCCATTAAGAAACTCACTGAGGAGTTCGGCCCTCACACTAAGGTAATGTCAACTAAATATTCACTTGGGTAATGTCCGCTGCATATTCAATAGGGTAATGTCAACTTAATATTCACTAAGGTAATATTAACTTCATATTCACTAGGGTAATGTCCGCTGCATGTTCACTAGGGTGATGTCAACTTCATATTCACTAGGGTGATGTCAACTTCATATTCACTAGGGTAATGTCCGCTGCATGTTCACTAGGGTAATGTCAACTTCATATTCACTAGGGTAATGTCCGCTGCATGTTCACTAGGGTAATGTCAACTTCATATTCACTAGGGTAATGTCCGCTGCATGTTCACTAGGGTGATGTCAACTTCATATTCACTAAGGTAATGTCCGCTGCATGTTCACTAGGGTGATGTCAACTTCATATTCACTAGGGTAATGTCCGCTGCATGTTCACTAGGGTGATGTCAACTTCATATTCACTAGGGTAATGTCCGCTGCATGTTCACTAGGGTGATGTCAACTTCATATTCACTAGGGTAATGTCCGCTGCATGTTCACTAGGGTGATGTCAACTTCATATTCACTAGGGTAATGTCAACTTCATGTTCACTAGGGTGATGTCAACTGCATGTTCACTAAGGTAATGTCCGCTGCATGTTCACTAGGGTGATGTCAACTTCATATTCACTAGGGTAATGTCAACTTCATGTTCACTAGGGTGATGTCAACTGCATGTTCACTAAGGTAATGTTTGCTCTAGCCTGCCTGGAGCGCCAGATAGTTTTTTTTTAGTTTTGTGATGTTTCCATTGTTCCATTAAGCCAGGCAAGCACAGAAAACGTTTTTTAATTGAACCGAAGTCTGATCTGAAGTCAAGGGGTCCCAAGCCAGAGGTCGGGGTTGACCAGTGAACTCTATAACAGGACAGTTCCCCTGTTGTTGTACCTTCTACATATATCAGACCAGAGCTTCACTATCCTTTTACAAATATTATTATTACCAGAAAGGTTGACTGAGAACACGTTCTCAGCAACAACCTGGTGAATAGTTAAAGGAGATGAATGAGCCAATTGGAAGCTGGGTATGATTAGGTGGACATGATGGCGTGAGGGCCAGATTGTGAATTTAGCCAGGACACCAGAGTTATCACCCCTACAATAAGCGCCATGGGATCTTTAGTGACCACAGAGAGTCAGGACACGCGTTCAATTTGCCTCCGAAAAACAGCACCCTTCACAGGGAAATTTCCCCAATCACAGAGGAAAGAGTGCCTCCTACTGGTCTCCCATCCAGGACCAACCCTGCTTAGCCTCAGATGGAAGCCAGCAGTGGGATGCAGGGTGGTATGCTGCTGGCTAGCTTCACTATCCTTCTACAGATATCAGACCAGAGCTACACTATCCTTCTACAGATATCAGACCTGAGCTTCACTATCCTTCTACAGATATCAGACCAGAGCTTCACTATCCTTATACAGATATCAGACCAGAGCTTCACTATCATTCTACAGATATCAGACCAGAGCTTCACTATCCTTCTACAGATATCAGACCAGAGCTTCACTATCCTTCTACAGAGATCAGACCAGAGCTTCACTATCCTTCTACAGATATCAGACCAGAGCTTCACTATCCTTCTACAGAGATCAGACCAGAGCTTCACTATCCTTCTACAGATATCAGACCAGAGCTTCACTATCCTTCTACAGATATCAGACCAGAGCTTCACTATCCTTCTACAGATATCAGACCTGAGCTTCACTATCCATCTACAGATATCAGACCAGAGCTTCACTATCCTTCTACAGATATCAGACCAGAGCTTCACTATCCATCTACAGATATCAGACCAGAGCTTCACTATCCTTCTACAGATATCAGACCAGAGCTTCACTATCCTTCTACAGATATCAGACCAGAGCTTCACTATCCTTCTACAGATATCAGACCAGAGCTTCACTATCCATCTACAGATATCAGACCAGAGCTTCACTATCCTTATACAGATATCAGACCTGAGCTTCACTATCCTTCTACAGATATCAGACCAGAGCTTCACTATCCTTATACAGATATCAGACCTGAGCTTCACTGTCCTTCTACAGATATCAGACCTGAGCTACACTATCCTTCTACAGCAGTGGTCACCAACCTTTTCTGAGTCAAGATCGCTTTCGCAGTCAAAAAGCAAGCCGAGATCTACCACTCAGATTATTTTTTAAACATGACTTAAAAAGGTAACATTAACCTAATAAAAACAGTTGTGTAGGAATGAGGTTTGTGCAGTAGGCCTAATACATTATGAGAGCGTATTGGCTATATGCCTGTTCTGCCAATATTGTTCTTCTCAGACCATATTATATTTCAAAACTCGAGCTTTGATAACAAAATTGATCAGTTGTTGTAACACTTGCGAGGCACAGCTGAGCATAAATTGAAATAATTTGCAAACCATTTGCTTTTTTATTTTACTGGACTGATGGTACCTGCATCTGATGGTCATGGTGCTTTGAAGTCAACTGGGTCCTCGGAGGTCAAATTATGACATCAGTGATCAGACTGGCCAACAGGGCTTCTGAATCAAGTGCACCTACCACCAACAGGGCTTCTGAATCAAATGCACCTACCACCAACAGGGCAACATGAATAAAAAGGAGCGCAAGCGTTTATCACAGCCTTTATCACAGTCTTTATCACAGCCTTTATCACAGCCTTTATAACAGCCTTTATCACAGTCTTTATCACAGCCTTTATCACAGACTTTATCACAGCCTTTATCACAGCTTTTAACATAACGTTTATCACAGCCTTTATCACAGCCTTTATCACAGTCTTTATCACAGCCTTTATCACAGCCTTTATCACAGTCTTTATCACAGCCTTTATCACATCCTTTATTAGAGTCTTTATCACAGCCGTTATCACAGCCTTTATCACAGCCGTTATCACAGCCTTTATCACAGCCATTATCATTGGCTTTTCTACAGAAATGTTTGGTGATCGACTAGGAATGACTTGAAGATCAACCAGTTGATCACAACCACTGCACTAGGGTATATTCACTATTGTATATTCAGTAGGGTAATGTCAACTATATATTCACTAGAGTATATTCACTATTGTATATTCACTATGGTAATGTCAACTGTTTATTGAAAATAGCTATATTACAGGGTCATTATTCCTGAAAACCAATGGTGGTCATGACTGCTATTCTGCCTTGTAACACTATTATGGAAATGGTACTCTCCCTATCTCTCCCTCTCTCTCGCTCCCACCCTCTCCCTCCAAACATATCCCTCCTTCCCCACCACTCTCCCCACTCTCCCCCCTCTCTTCCAAGGCTGTGACGGAGGCCCTCCTGTCCCTACAGATGTTGTACCCTAGGAGGAACCTTCCTGCAGAACAATGGCGCAGCGCTCAGCTTCTCAGTCTCCTCAGCACACCTGCTGCCATGCTGGACCCTGCCTGCTGCGACAGGTGAAACCCAGGGAGGAGAAGAGAGAAGGAGAAGAGATGAGACAGGAGAGAAGAAGAAGTGAAGAGCAGAGAGGAGAAGAGAAGCGAAGAGAAGAGAAGAGGGAGAGGAGGGAGGGATGAGGAGGCGGAGGGAGCGCGAGCAGAGGCGGGAGTGAGGAGAGGAGTAGGGAGGAGAGGAAGAGAGGCAGGGAAGAGTGAGGCGGAGGAGACGAGAGAGCGGAGAGGTAGAGGAGATGGCTGTACGTGAGCTGAGAGGAATTGGAGGGAGAGGCTTATTGATGGTATTCTTGATTTCTTTCGCTATTTAGTACTATTAGTCTCTATTCTTTATTATCCTGAAAGTCATTTCTACTCTCCATCCTCTCCATATTCTTTCTATTTTTTGTTTGTTTATTTCTCTTATCTTCTTCCCTTTTTCTATTTATTTTCCTTTTCTGTCCTCTCGTCCTCTCTTCCCCGCCCTAGAATGTCCTGTCTGCTGATATGAAAGGCAGCCACTGGCTTCTTTGAAGTATCAAATCAAATCAAATCAATTGTTATTTTCCACATGCGCCAGTGTAGACCTTACAGTGAAATGCTTACTTACATGCCCTTAAACAACAATGCAGTATTAAGAAAATAAAAAATAAAGTGTTAAGTAAAAAATAGATAAGTCAAAAATAAAAATAGCAAATAATTAAAGATTAACAAAGAAATAACAGTAGGTTGGCTATATTCAGGGTGTACCGGTACAGAGTCAATGTGTGGGGGCACCAGTTAGTCAAGGTAATTGAGGTAATATGTACATGTGGGTAGAGTTGAAGTGACTATGCATAGATAATAAACAGAGTAGCAGCAGCGTAAAAGAGGGGGTGGGGGTGGGCAATGGGCAATACAAATAGTCCGGATAGCCATGATTAGCTTTTCAGGAGTCTTATGGGTTGGGGATAGAAGCTGTTAAGAAGCCTTTTGGACATAGACTTAGCGCTCCGGTACCGCTTGCCGTGCGGTAGCAGAGAGAGCAGTCTACGAATAGGATGGCTGGAGTCTGACAATTTTTAGGGCCTTCCTCTGACACCGTCTGGTATAGAGGTCCTGGATGGCAGGAAGCTTGGCCCCAGTGATGTACTGGGACGTACGCACTACCCTCTGTAGTGCCTTGCGGTTGGAGGCAGAGCAGTTGCCATACCAGGCGGAGATGCAACCAATCAGGATGCTCTCAATGGTGCAGCTGTAGAACTTTTTGAGGATCTGAGGGCCCATGCAAAATCTTTTCAGTCTCCTGAGGGGGAATAGGCTTTGTTGTGCCCTCTTCACGACTGTCTTGGTGTGTTTGGACAATGATAGTTTGTTGGTGTTGTGGACACCAAGGAACTTGAAGCATTCAACCTGTTCCACTACAGCCCCGTCGATGAGAATGGGGGCGTACTCAGTCCTCATGTTTTTCCTGTAGTCCACAATCATCTCCTTTGTCTTGATCACGTTGAGGGAGAGGTTGTTATCCTGGCACCACACGGCCAGGTCTCTGACCTCCTCCCTATAGGCTGTCTCATCGTTGTCGGTGATCAGGTCTACCAGTGTTGTGTCGTCTGCAAACTTAATGATGGTGTTGGAGTCGTGCCTGGCCATGCAGTCATGGGTGAACAGGGAGGACAGGAGGGGACTGAGCACGCACCTCTGAGGGGCCCCCGTGTTGAGGATCAGTGTGGCAGATGTGTTGTTACCTACCCTTACCACCTGGGGGCGGCCCGTCAGGAAGAACAGGATCCAGTTGCAGAGGGAGGTGTTTAGTCCCAGGATCATTAGCTTAGTGATGAGCTTTGGGGGCACTATGGTGTTGAACGCTGAGCTGTAGTCAATGAATAGCATTCTCACGTAGGTGTTCCTCTTGTCCAGGTGGGAAAGGACAGTGTGGAGTGCAATAGAGATTGCATCATCTGTGGATCTGTTGGGGCGGTATGCATATTGGAGTGGATCTAGGGTTTCTTGACGTGAGTCATGACCAGCCTTTCAAAGCACTTCATGGCTACAGATGTGAGTGCTACGGGTCTGTAGTCATTTAGGCAGGTTGTCTTAGTGTTCTTGGGCACAGGGACTATGGTGGTCTGCTTGAAACATGTTGGTATTACAGACTCAGTCAGGGACATGTAGAAAATGTCAGTGAAGACACTTGCCAGTTGGTCAGCGTATGATCGGAGTACACGTCCTGGTAATCCGTTTGGCCCTGCGGCCTTCTGAATGTTGACCTGCTTAAAAGTTATCGGCTACGGAGAACATGATCACATAGTCATCCGGAACAGCTGATGTTATAATAATAATAATATAATATGCCATTTAGCAGACGCTTTTATCCAAAGCGACTTACAGTCATGCATGCATACATTTTTGTGTATGGGTGGTCCCGGGGATCGAACCCACTACCTTGGCGTTACAAGCGCCGTGCTCTACCAGTTGAGCTACAGAGGACCATGTCCTCATGCATGCTTCATTGTTGCTTGACTCGAAGTGAGCATAGAAGTGATTTAGCTCGTCTGGTAGGCTTGTGTCACTGGGCAGCTCGCGGGTGTGCTTCCCTTTGTAGTCTGTAATAGTTTTCAAGCCCTGCCACATCCGACGAGCGTCGGAGCCGGCGTAGTACGATTTAATCTTATACCTGTATTGACTCTTTGCCTGTTTGATGGTTCGTCTGAGGGCATAGCGAGATTTCTTATAAGCATCCGGGTTAGAGTACCGCTCCTTGAAAGCGGCAGCTTGGCTTCTGGTTGGGGTATGTACGTACAGTCACTGTCGGGACGACGTCATCGATGCACTTATTGATGAAGCCAGTGACTGATGTGGTGTTCTCCTCAATGCTATCGGGAAGAATCCCAGAACATATTCCAGTCTGTGCTAGCAAAACAGTCCTGTAGCTTAGCATCTGCGTCATCTGACCACTTCCTTATTAACCGAGTCACCACTTCCTTATTAACCGAGTCACCACTTCCTTATTAACCATAGTGTTCTGCGTTGGTCTCTGTGCCCAGTGGTTCTCTTCATGTGGGATTCAAAGCTTCAGCCAAGAAACAGAGACCACTATGCATTGTACACCTAATACCATGGCACATACTATATTTTGTATTGAGTATTGTGTCTGTTTACAAATCCCTTTAGAAGAAGTTAGCGTGTGCATCTGCAACAGCAAAACATGCCTTTTAGATAGTCAGCATTTGTCTGTGTTATCATGAAGTACAATAATTGCATGACATCTGTAAATAATCACACTGTTCTAAAGAGTTGACTATTGATTACTTATTATTAACTAATTAAATGACTGACTTGTGTTTCCAACAGATGACCTGTGAGTACTTGTCCTTAGAGGTGATGGAGCGCTGGATCCTTCGTGAGTGCTAGCTATTATCTTCAGACTCAGTGTATTGCTGCTTTCTGAAAAAAAGGCTTCAGTGGTTGCACACTGTATTCACATATTCACGTTGATCTCTCCTCTCCTCCAGTGGGTTACCTGCTGTGTCACAGCAGTCTGAACACCAACCAGTCATCTCAGGAGCTGTGGAAGATGGCCCTCCGCAGCGGCCTTTATCTCACTATCGTCAGGGATGAGACAATCAACATCCACAAGGTCACAGAGGAATGCTTCGAAGGCCTGAAAGGGTATGACATTATAATGACATTTGGGAGTCAAGCTGATTCTACATTTGTTCTGGGCCCTGGTTTCCAATGTTCTGGGCCCTGGTTCCCAATGTTCTGGGCCCTGGTTTCCAATGTTCTGGGCCCTGGTTCCCAATGTTCTGGGCCCTGGTTCCCAATCTTCTGGGCCCTGGTTCCCAATGTTCTGGGCCCTGCTTCCCAATGTTCTGGGCCCTGGTTCCCATTGTTCTGAGCCCTGCTTCCCAATGTTCTGGGCCCTGGTTCCCAATGTTCTATGCCCTGGTTTCCAATGTTCTGGGCCCTGGTTCCCATTGTTCTGAGCCCTGGTTCCCATTGCTCTGAGCCCTGGTTCCCAATGTTCTGAGCCCTGGTTCCCAATGTTCTAGGCCCTGGTTCCCAATGTTCTAGGCTGAGGTTCTCAATGTTCTGGACCCTGGTTTCCAATGTTCTGGGCCCTGGTTCCCAATGTTCTGGGCCCTGGTTCCCAATGTTCTGGGCCCTGGTTCCCAATGTTCTGGGCCCTGGTTCCCAATCTTCTGGGCCCTGGTTCCCAATGTTCTGGGCCATGCTTCCCAATGTTCTGGGCCCTGGTTCCCATTATTCTATGCTCTGGTTTCCAATGTTCTGGGCCCTGGTTCCCATTGTTCTGAGCCCTGGTTCCCATTGCTCTGAGCCCTGGTTCCCAATGTTCTGAGCCCTGGTTCCCAATGTTCTAGGCCCTGGTTCCCAATGTTCTAGGCCCTGGTTCCCAATGTTCTGGACCCTGGTTTTCCAATGTTCTGTTCCCGGGTTCCCAATGTTCTGGGCCCTGGTTCCCAATGTTCTGGGCCCTGGTTCCCAATCTTCTGGGCCCTGGTTCCCAATGTTCTGGGCCCTGGTTCCCATTGTTCTGAGCCCTGGTTCCCATTGCTCTGAGCCCTGGTTCCCAATGTTCTGAGCCCTGGTTCCCAATGTTCTAGGCCCTGGTTCCCAATGTTCTAGGCCCTGGTTCCCAATGTTCTGGACCCTGGTTTTCCAATGTTCTGTTCCCGGGTTCCCAATGTTCTGTTCCCGGGTTCCCAATGTTCTGGGCCCTGGTTCCCAATGTTCTGGGCCATGCTTCCCAATGTTCTGGGCCCTGGTTCCCATTGTTCTGAGCCCTGCATCCCAATGTTCTGGGCCCTGGTTCCCAATGTTCTATGCCCTGGTTTCCAATATTCTGGGCCCTGGTTCCCATTGCTCTGAGCCCTGGATCCCAATGTTCTGAGCCCTGGTTCCCAATGTTCTAGGCCCTGGTTCCCAATGTACTAGGCCCTGGTTCCCAATGTTCTGGATCCTGCTTTCAAATGTTCTGGGCCCTGGTTTCCAATGTTCTGGGCCCTGGCTCCCAATGTTCTAGGCAGCAACAAAAAAATGTGTTGGTTAGCATATTTTAGCACATTTAACGAAGCTCCTACAAAGGTTTTAATTTTATTATGATTGTGGCACTAAGATGCTTTTGGGAGAGGGCCTGTCTGGTAAGGTGTACTGTACTGAACTATAATCTTGGCAAAACTGGTAAACGATTGTCTGGTACATCCTTACTGACACCCCTTCTTTGTTTCTTTGTGACAGGTACAGCAAGCGTTTCGCAGATATCAAAGAATGCCGGGAGTATGCCATAGTCAACAGGTGAGTTATCTGCTTGTGTATAAAACTATTAAAATAAACTCAAACTGAGCCTGAATGTATGGACCTGCTTCAGATAGCAGCGGCACCAATTGGACAATGGTCTCCCATTTGACATCAACAACAAGTAGCATTATTTTTCATGGTCCTTCAAGCCGGATTAGAACCAGCATCCAGGGCCACCATATGATTAACAGTTAAAGTCAAGAATATAAATAACTATGTGTGATGTTGTCATATGTATGCCAGTGGAGCCATGCACAGAGAAAGGAGAGGTTTCCTGAGGAATGCCTTGAAGGAGCTGGTCAAAGTCCTGGAGGATGAACCTGGACTCCTGGGACCCAAGGTGCATAACACTCACTCATTCAGTTCATCTGGCTAATAATGCCAATCTATTGCATGTTCAGCTTCCCTGTATGTTTGAATATTATCATAATCTATTTTTTAAAGATGTATTACATAGACATTATTGGCATTGACCTCTCATTCTGTACTACTAAACACAGACAGAGAGCTTTGAAATAAACGCAGAGCAGTTTATATTCAGTACACGAATATGGTCAAACAGTCTTGGGTCTTATGCTAAATATATTTGTTGTTCTCTCTCTATCTCTCTCTCTCTCTAGACACTCTCGATCTCTCTCCTCTCTAGCTCTTCGCGAGACTCGCGCTGTTTATCTTCTCGCGCTATCTCTCTATTCTCTCTCCCCCCCGCTTTTTTTAACCTCCCTTCTCCCCCCCTTCTTCCCCCCCCCTTCACCACCCCAAGGTTTGTTTTTCTTCAGGGTCCATTTTCCCTAAGGGGGGTCTTTTGTTCAAAAATTCAAATTCCCCCAAAACCAAACCCCGGAGGACAGTAGATGTTTTAAGTTCCCAAAGCGCCTTTCTAACCCCCCAGTTTCCAAGTTCTAAAACAACTTTAACCACAAATACCTTTTAAAAATAATTTTAAACCAAACCAACCTTTAACACAAAAAACTTCACCAAAACTATTTAATAATAGCCTTTCTAACAAAAACCAATTTTTTTAACCCCCCAAAGCCCCTACCATGAAGGAGACCTTTAACCCCAAAAGATTGATCCCCTTTTATCATGTCAATATAGTAATTAATACAGTATAAATATTTAAGTTTTTTTAAAATTAAAATGTAACAGTACCAAATTAAACCACGTGGCAAAGCAGAAAAAATTTTTTTTTAGTTTAAGCCTCTTGTAAACAGTTTTAAGTTTTTTAACCTTCTTTAAATTAAAAAAATTAAAAATTGGGAGAATAGCTTTTAAACACATTGTTTTTAAAAGGTAAGCCCATTTTGGGTACATAGTCACTAGTTAATGTGTTTTTTGTTCCTATTTTTTGATCGTAGTCACATTTTTAATGTTTTTATGAAAGTCTTGTTGATACTAGTCGTAGAAGTTTTTTATGTTATCCTATGTTGATCAGTGTCATATTAAGTTTTTTATGTATAGTCCTACTGTTGAACAGTACACTAGTATGTTTTTTATGTAGTCCTACTTTTTTAACAGTAGCATAGTTAATGTGTTTTTATACCCTATTTGATACAGTAGTACAGTTAATTTTTTTTTATGTAAGCCACTGTTGATACATAGTCATTTAATGTGTTTATGTGTACCCCATGTTGATACGTAGCACAGTTAATGTTTTTTATGATGTCCACTGTTATACATAGTCAGATTAAAATGGTTTAGTATAGTTACTGTTGATACAGTACCCTATTTAATTGTTTATTATACCCCTACTGTTGATACAGTGTATATTAATGTGTTTATGTTAGTCCACGTTGATACTAGTATATTAATGTGTTTATGATGTCCTACTTTTTAAAAGTGTCAGTATTTAAATGTGTTTATTTTAAGTCCTATTTTGATAGGGGTTTCACGTTAATGTGTTTATGGTTCCTACTGTTGATACATACCCCTATTTAAATGTTTTTGTGAGTCCTACTGTTGTACGTGTCAGTAGTTAATGTGTTTATGTAAGCCTACTGTTGAAACTAGTATAGTTAAGGGGTTTATGTATAGCCCCTATTTTGATACAGTATCAGTTTAAGTTTAATACCCCTACAAAACATAGTCGTGTTAAGTGTTTTGTTAGTCCACGTTTACTTCATATTAATGGTTTATGTAAGCCAAATGTAAACGTAGCCCTGTTAATTTTTTAGTATAGTCCACTGTTGTCCCGAGTCAGAGTTAATGTGTTATGTACGTCCTACTGTTGTACATGTCCTCGTAAGTGTTTATGTATTGTCCTACTGTTGATACAGTAGTCAGTAGTTAATGTGTTTATGTATAGTCCTACTGTTGATACAGTAGTCAGTAGTTAATGTGTTTATGTATAGTCCTACTGTTGATACAGTAGTCACTAGTTAATGTGTTTATGTATAGTCCTACTGTTGATACACTAGTCAGTAGTTAATGTGTTTCTATGTGTGTGCTGCAGGCAGATGGCTGAGCTCCTGTTCTACATGGAGAGGTTGAGGACCCTGGTGACTAAGTACAGCCGTGTGGTTCAACGCTACCACATCCAGTACCTGGCCCAGTTTGATGCCCTGCTCCTCAACGACACCATACAGGTACCGGGGGGAAGCCTTACTGTATGGAACTTGAATTGAATAGAGACACAATACAATGTGGTGTACCTCAAGGATCTATTCTTGGGTCATTATTATTGCAGGGGCAGGCAGAATAGTTGTTCATCGTCATCATACTGTATGTGCTGTTTTTAGTCTAAGTAAGCATTTATCCCATTGTAAATGCATAAGGAATGCTTTTCTCACTGTTCGGACTATTCCGTCCTGTAGAATATGTATGTCTGTCCAGAAGAGGAATCAGTCCTGATGACATCATTTGTCTCAACCCTGTCTGCACTGACTATCAAGCAAGGTAAACAAAATGTATCTGAAATCCATAATGTGTCCGATTGATATGTAATGCTAGGCCTACTTCATGTGTGATACTACCGCATGTCTCTCAACAGTGGAAAACGGAGAGGAGTTTGACTTCAGGGCTCTGAGACTGGACTGGTTAAGATTACAGGTATGGGACTTCACTTACCCTATAAACACTTTACATTTATCACACACTGTTACATGTTATAAGACTACACTGTAAACACACTGTTCCCACTCAGACCACTTGATAAGAAGCTATTTGTGTTTCTTTTTGACCATTTTAATTGAAAACAATCACAGTAAGGTACTTAATTGTTACCCATAAATGATTTAAAATTGAGATAGAAATGGCTGCATTGCACCTTTAAACGTGCCTTGTTGTGTCCAACTCTTGATGGTGTATGTAGTGTCCCAAGCTGATTATTATTATATTTTTTTATATATATTTAAATCGTACTTCATTAACATATTTTAAGTATATTTAAAATAGTCTAAATTGGAACAATTTTAAATACGTTTAATGCATTTTGATATCAATTGTATTTGTATTTTATTAGCATTTAAGTATATTAAATACATTTTAAAGGATCTAAATTGGGACACTTTTCTGTACTTAAGTACACTGCTCAAAAAATTAAAGGGAACACTTAAACAACACAATATAACTCCAAGTCAATCACACTTCTGTGAAATCAAACTGTCCACTTAGGAAGCAACACTGATTGACAATAAATGTCACATGCTGTTGTGCAAATGGAATAGACAACAGGTGAAAATTATAGGCAATTAGCAAGACACCCCCAATAAAGGACTGGTTTTGCAGGTGGTGACCACAGACCACTTCTCAGTTTCTATGCTTCCTGGCTGATGTTTTGGTCACTTTTGAATGCTGGCGGTGCTTCCACTCTAGTGGTAGCATGAGACGGAGTCTACAACCCACACAAGTGGCTCAGGTAGTGCAGCTCATCCAGGATGGCACATCAATGCGAGCTGTGGCAAGGTTTGCTGTGTCTGTTAGCGTAGTGTCCAGAGCATGGAGGCGCTACCAGGAGACAGGCCAGTACATCAGGAGACGTGGAGGAGGCCGTAGGAGGGCAACAACCCAGCAGCAGGACTGCTACCTCCGCCTTTGTGCAAGGAGGAGCAGGAGGAGCACTGCCAGAGCCCTGCAAAATGACCTCCAGCAGGCCACAAATATGCATGTGTCTGCTCAAACGGTCAGAAACAGACTCCATGAGGGTGGTATGAGGGCCCGACGTCCACAGGTGGGGGTTGTGCTTACAGCCCAACACCGTGCAGGACATTTGTCATTTGCCAGAGAACACCAAGATTGGCAAATTCGCCACTGGCGCCCTGTGCTATTCACAGATGAAAGCAGGTTCACACTGAGCACATGTGACAGACGTGACAGAGTCTGGAGATGCCGTGGAGAACGTTCTGCTGCCTGCAACATCCTCCAGGATGACCGGTTTGGCGGTGGGGTCAGTCATGGTGTGGGGTGGCATTTCTTTGGGGGGGGCCGCACAGCCCTCCATGTGCTCGCCAGAGGTAGCCTGACTGCCATTAGGTACCGAGATGAGATCCTCAGACCCCTTGTGAGACCATATGCTGGTGCGGTTGGCCCTGGGTTCCTCCTAATGCAAGGACTCATGTGGCTGGAGTGTGCCAGCAGTTCCTCCAAGAGGAAGACATTGATGCTATGGACTGGCCCGCCCGTTCCCCAGACCTGAATCCAATTGAGCACATCTGGGACATCATGTCTCGCTCCATCTACCAACGCCACGTTGCACCACAGACTGTCCAGGAGTTGCCGGATGCTTTAGTCCAGGTCTGGGAGGAGATCCCTCAGGAGACCATCCGCCACCTCATCAGGAGCATGCCCAGGCGTTGTAGGGAGGTCATACAGGCATGTGGAGGCCACACACACTACTGAGCCTCATTTTGACTTGTTTTAAGGACATTACATCAAAGTTGGATCAGCCTGTAGTGTGGTTTTCCACTTTAATTTTGAGGGTGACTCCAAATCCAGACCTCCATGGGTTGATACATTTGATTTCCATTGATAATTTGTGTGTGATTATGTTGTCAGCACATTCAACTATGTAAAGAAAAAAGTATTTAATAAGATTATTTAATTCATTCAGATCTAGGATGTGTTATTTTAGTGTTCCCTTTATTTTTTTGAGCAGTGTATATTCTTAGTGTATTAGATAAAGAGCAAAACAAATATACTTTGAATACACCTTAAGTATATTTTATGTTTATTTCTCATACATTAGAAATGTACTAAAATGTTATTTGAATTAGAATTCCTGTATTGTCTGTACAATTTATTTTTATTTTTTAATATGTTTCAAGTATACTTTTACAAAGACACTTCTACTCATTAACCACATTACCTATTGTAATTTGCCATGTAAAGTTTACCTTGATTGACCAAGGCATCTTCTCAGCCAATGTTAACGTGCTATTT